GGAGTGGCTGGTGGGTTTGAACCGCCAGCCTTCTGGTTAGCAGTCAAGTGCCTTAGGCACTATGCTACCAGAGCTCCTTATTATAAAATACAAGATATAAATGAGGCTAGTATTTTTGGTTGTACACATTAGTTGTATCATATTAGGTACAAGTATGACTTTATAACTGTATTTAGGTTTAACCAACTGTATGTATGGTTTAAGGAGATGTGTATAGGTACCAAGTAGACAAGAGGTGGACTGTAAAAGTTAAGGTTATATTTTAACTTGGCTAGGCCATGATTCTCAGTGGTTTGGCAGATATTATGTAATCATCCTCCATTTTGTGATATGATATGAGTAGCCAATCTGTTGAAAGGAGAGTTGCCTTAGGGGTGTGACCTGAATTCAATATATATGGATGTTCTGGGAAAGCCTGTCTTCTTTTGATATTGCATTTGACTCATCATTCTCTGACTACTGGTTCTTGGGACATGAGCCAGCAATTTTGGGATTTGCCAGCTTCCGCAGTCCCATGAGCCAACAGCCTGTCATCTGACCTGCCAATATTGGGTTCGTCAACCCCTGCAACCACGTGAGTCAGGAGAAGCCTCCAGCCTGATGCCTGACCCCATGGATTTGGGTCTTGCCAGTCTCCACAACTGCATAAGCCATTTCCTTGAAATAAATCTCTCTGGGTAAATATATGTGCTTCACTGGTTTTGTTCCTATAAAGAACCCAGCCTAGATTTCAGTTCTGGCCTTCTTGAGTAAATCTATGAGAAAAACATGAGGTTTGGCATATAACACAAACTTCAAGACTTGTTTGACCTGCTTGGAAGATGCTGCTTCTGCCTCTTGTATTTGAAGAGATCTATACTTGCCATGAGCCCTATGGGAATTATTCTTTGGTCTCATCACAACCTAGATTTTCAAGTCTGGCTCTAGCTCTGCCCCCCCCCGCCCCCGCCCCCGCCCCCAGTATGGAACCCTGGGCAAATCACTTCATCTTTCTGATCCTAATATCCTTATCTATGAAATGGGTATAATCAAACTTGTACTACAGAGTTGTTGTGAGGATTAAAAAAGACAGTTATGTGAGACGACCTAGCCTAGGGTCTGGACCACCACTAACTATTAGATGACCAACTGGATCAATGAATAAGCTTCAATTGAAGCCAGCAGGTAGAAGTCAAGCTTCTAACAAACTAAGTCCTTCACTAAGACAACATCTCTGTCCTTTAACACTGCCTGCTTATCCTAGGTCAACGCTCCACCTCTATAAGAAGGGATAAGAGTGGGTTCAGTGCCTCTGCTAGATGTCTTGTATTCAGAAAGCCTTCTGCCATGGACACTCAGAATATTCAGGCCAAAGGAAGGAGTCTAAGTAAAGACCTATGCTGGTGCTACCATTTATCAGCATCATGCACATAGCAGAGTGACCTCTAATAATAATTTTGAGTGTCAACTTCTTTGTGAAATGGAGTAATCATAACTACTTACAGGAATGCTGTGGGATTAAATTAGAACATATGTATTAATATTGCAAGGAGCTCTGGTAGCATAGTGCCTAAGGCACTTGACTGCTAACCAGAAGTCTGGCGGTTCAAACCCACCAGCCACTCCTCGGAAGGAAGGTTGGGCAATCCTACTTCTGTAGTGATACTGCCTCGGAAACCCAAGGAGGGATTTCTATGAGTCAGGTCTGACTCGATGACACATAACAACAACAACAACAGTTAATATTGCTGGGGATAAGATCCTCCTGCCCTGCTGCCTAGGTTTTTATGATTTTGACTGAATAAAAGCAATAAGCTGCCCTAAGCAAGAAAAAACGCTCAAGGTTAAATCCTAGGATTAAATGTGGGTAATTTAGACAAATGGAGGAGGTGGGTGGATACAGGAAGGAAGCTTTGGCTTCAGATAAAAGAACAGAATGGATACAAGTTAAGATAAGCAGCCAAAACATCCGCAGTGCCTGAGTCCTGCCAAGGGACAAGAGATAACAAGGGAACCACTAGGTTAGGCCTAGTAAAGGAGGGGAGGAAGCTATTGAGAAGGGTCTTCTGAAAGAGAAACATAGTCATGCCAGCTGGAATGCATTGTTGTTCTATCACTCATAGGCCAAAGTAGGAGGCCATGGTGAAGCAGCATTCTGAGGAACTTGGTTCTGAAGTTTCCATATTCCTCAGCATATGACCCCATTACCCATGGCTGTTTAGTTGATTCCAATTCATAGTGACACTATAGGACAGAGTAGAACCACCCCATAGGTTTTCCAAGGATGTAAATTTTTATGAAAGCAGATTGCCACATCTTTCTCCCAAAGAAAAATGTTTGAACCACTGTGTTTGAACCACTGATCTTTTCATTAGCAGCCGAGTATGTTAACCACTGTGCTACCAGGGCTCCTTCCTTAGCATATGAGATCCTGTTAAATGAGGATGTCACTGCCTATATGTGAGAGCAGTATCAGCCATCCCTTCCCTTTGTGAAGAGGTTTATAAAGCAGGGTCCTTCAGTGGCTTTGGAGGAGCAGTCCTGACACCCAGTTGGAGGGATATGGTCTACAGTCTTGCTTCCTAGCCACTGATTCCCACCTGTCTCATCTGTGTCAGTATAGCCCAGAGATGCCTGTGTTGTATAGGCTGCCTTTGGTGTCTAGGGAGTTGTTAGAGAGGTATGATCCCTCCTTTCCTTGTATTTGGTGTGGAAAATCTGCAGCATCTGAATGTACATCTCTATGATTGTGGGAAGAGTGCAGAAGACTCTGGACAGCGGTGTCCTGAGACCATGTCGTTCCATACCTGGATGCCATGGAAGCCTGAACTCCACAGGCTGATGAGGAAGATCATTGCCCAAGGGAGCCTTGAAGACCAACACAATGCTCACATGGCCTCCATGAGACAGGAACTGTCAGTTTTGATCACTATTGTAACCCCAGTGAGGGAACACAATAGGTACTCAATAAATATTTATTGTAAGAGAAAGTAATAATGCTATCTCTCTATTTTAGGCCACAAGTAGTACTATGATGGGAAGGTTTCCTAACTTTTTGTGAATTCTCACTCTTATGATGCTAACTAGCATTTCACGGTCAGGGAAGTAGCCTAATATTCTTATTCCAGGAATATACACAGGCCTCCCTGCTGAGGGAGGAGCTACCCTGGGAACACTCTAAAATCTTATATAGTAGCTGAAGCCTTATCCTAGGATGACACTTAGGGAGTTAATCAGAGATTGCAAATTGGTGGCCCCTTCCCCAAATCTGACTTGTAGAAATATTTGGCTCATACAGAGTTTAGGAGCTCTGGTAGCATAATGCCTAAGGCATTTGACTGCTAACCAGAAGGCTGGCAGTTCAAACCCACCAGCCACTCCTCGGAAGGAAGGTTGGGCAATCCTACTTCCGTAGTAATACTGCCTCGGAAACCCAAGGAGGGGTCGCTATGAGTCGGGGCCAACTCGATGGCAAATAACAACAACAACAAATACAGAGTTTATAATTTTTTAAAATTAGTTGCACTTAAAAATCAGAGATCATACAATTCTGACTCTCCAGATTCTCTTGAAGAACTGAAAAATAAGAGAATATCAGCTAGTGCTGACTATAAGAGTCATGCATGTTCTAGCTTTCCGAACTTCTTCCTGGCTCTCTCACTCATTTAAATATCCTATCTAGCTTCTGTATGCACCTGAGTTTGCAATGCCTGCTTTAGAAGACCTAAGGAGGAAAAGCACAGCCTTGGTTGATCAGGGGAGCCAAGCCCTGCTCCAAGCCCTCTTTGCATCTGCTTGGATATAAATGAGACCCCCTCACCTGATGAGTCAGTAATAGCTGGATCCGCCAGCCGCCCATAGTGTGCCATGAGTTTGAGCTTGGTCTCCTGTTTTCTGTGTTTCTTGCCCACGTAATGTTGTTGAGCCATGACAGGGTCGTTGAAAGTTGCGTGGCAGAGGCTGCAGAACTTGTCTGGGTCTATCATGTCTCTGTTCTGGTGCAAGGCTAAAGTGGAGGCCACAAGAAAAGGGTTTGTAAGGCATTTTGACAGAGCCGTGACAAGTTAAAATAGAAACAATGAAAAACTCAGAAGGTGCCAAACTTTCGAGTATGCTGAATGGAAAGACAGGCTGGCATCACTAGTCAGTCACATCTGCAGATGTAGCACTGCCTGTGTGAATCACATTTTGAATGTCTTCTCTAAGTAGGGAAACTGGGAAGACACGGGGGAGCCCAAAGACCAGCCATTCTGTTTTGCAGCTTTAACTATTTTAGGCACATGAATCCTGCTTTTCTCATATTCTAAGGAGGCTCTGAGCATCTGTTATCAAGTTGCCAAATTACAATAGAGTGGATATATACATACTTGCAGTCTTTTCATTTCTCAGAATCCTCTGGAACTTGACAGAAAGTGGGACAAAAAGTTTGAGTATTTTATTCCCATCTTCAAAGTATCCTAGTTACAGAGGTGAAAAACAATGTATAGATACAGAAATTGAGGGCTTGAGGCTCATACAGAGCTCACATGGTCATTTAGAAAAGGCCCTTTATACCAGAGATGCCTTTTAGAATGCACTGCCTTCCAGGCTGAGTGGGGGAGAGAAGACGATGATACTAACACTTAATTATACGCTCTGAACATATATTTTGATCTTTGGCCCTCATAATTACCCCATGAGGTTGGTATTATTTTGCCACAATATAGAGAAAAACAGGGGGAAGTGACTTGCCCAAGGACACTCAGCTAGTGAGCGAACCCAGGTCTGTGTGGCTCTAAAGCCTTATGCTATGCCAGGCTGCCAGAGTACGACAGGGAGACCTGAGGGCTATATCTCTTGCTTTCAGCTTCAGAAAACATCCTGGACTGTGGTTAATGAACCAGGCTAATCAGAGCCTGGTGTGGGCATGTACGTAAGCCTTCTGTGGATCAACCTACTTTCTAAGGCTGACTACAGGCCATGTCATACTGCCTTATAAAGCAGATGCTGTAACTCACTAATAAGTTTCCATAATGTGGCCCAGGCTCCCTGCCAGTGGTGGTGGAAGGGCTAGGCAGCACTCCTAGGCAGAGGAGATGGCACAGTCTGCTCAGATGCTCTTTCAGCCCTGTACCACTGCAGTGGGGAGGTTTTGAAAATTTCTAGTAAGCCAGAAGAAATTATTGTCTTTTCCCCACAATGGTCTTCCAGTATAGGGCATCTCAATTTTCCTGGCCATTGACTTTTGTCTCCGCTACTCATTTGAAAAGTAATGTACATGTTGCAGGATATTTAATAATTTGAGAAAATATTCAGTATGTATTGAGTGAAAAAAGGAGATTATAAAGCAATCTGTTTCTTATATGTTTTGTATAACAACAAAAAACACACAGGTTATGCATAGGAAAAGGACCAAAAGTAGATTAAAGAATGCTTTTTTGTATTTTCCAACTTTTCTCCAATGAATATAGTTTTGTTTATATCAGAAAAGGGGTAATAATGGTCATTAAGGGATAATAGTACTGAAAAAGTACTTAAAAAGATACTGATGAGAAGCATATGAAGTAAATCAATAGGCAATGCTGGAGGAACTGCTTACTGAGCTATCAGGCATGCAATAGAAATGAGAGCTATAGGAGTCTTCTGTCAGGAAATAGCTTAAAATATGAAAAGAACTGTTCTATAGTGATGTTTACTGTAGTGTTATTTATAAGACCAAAGAAAGGAGAGGAGGGAGTAACTCAAATGTTCAATGTTGGAGAAATAGTCAAGTGTGGTATGATACTATGTTATGTACAAAACCAAACCAAACTCACTGCCATTGAGTTGAACCCGACTCATAGTGACCCCTCCTTGGGTTTCTGAGGCGGTATCACTATAGAAGTAGATTACTCAATCTTCCTTCCGAGGAGTGGCTGGTGGGTTTGAACCGCCAATCTTCTGGTTAGTAGTCAAATGCCTTAGGCACTATGCTACCAGAGCTCCTAGGATGTTATGTAGTCATTAACAATGTTTATGAAAAAGTTTTTAATAACACAGGAAATATATTAAAAACAGTACAGAAAGAAATTATATATACCATATGGTATTATTATTAAAAGAAATCATTGTTAAAATGTAATCCATACATGTATACTGGTATTTTGAAAAATCACCAGCATATTAACAGTGTTTCTCTATGGTGGAAGGATCTGGGTGATATCTGACTTTTTTCTTTGTACCTTTTGCATGATTTGAACTGAAATTCCTCATAATGAGCATGCACCATTTTTATAAAAACAATAAAGTTATTTAAAGTAGTCTATGTTTATATGCACATATGCATGGATTTAATATAAAGTAAATGAATATACATACAGATACAAGTACACATAACAAAAGACTAAAGGAGAAACAGTATTCCAAAATGTTAATGGTTGTTATCTCTGATAATGGTAAAATTATGGCTAATTTTTCTTTCTACTCATCTGTATTTTCCACAACATACTTATATTACTTTTACATTAGAGAAAAATATTTAATTTCAGAAGTGTAAGTTCATGTAATAACATGGAAACGTGCTTAAAATCAAATGTTAAAAAAAGAAAACAAAATACAAACAGTACATGCATTATGTAAAAATGTATCTGCATGTGGCAAAGGCCAAAAGTGAATACAGAAAACAATCTGAGTATGAACTCTTTGGGACTGGGCATATTTCAGGGCTAGGGCATTCCTGGACGTATTCATTTCTCATGTGTAAAAACGTAAGTCTGTGACCTTATAAAGTTCTGTTCTTAAGCTAGTTTCCCTTGGCCTAATGCTTCATCTTTCTATACCATCATGGTTAACAAAAGCAATCAGCACTATTATAGTTTAATGATGAATGAACCACAAGCAAGGCTAATGACATGCACCAGGTGGTAGATACCTGACCAACTACCACATTTTATGGGGGATTCCATTCATTGGTTATCATGATGATGGGGACAATGACAATAATAATAATAACAGCTGTCACTTACAGAGTATCTGTTATATTCTAGGTGCTTTTTATGTATTATTTTGTCTTCATAAACTATGAAGTAGAGCATTATCTTATGTTTCATAGGTGAGAGAACTCAAATACAAAGTCACAAAGATGGCAATAACAGTGCCAGCATTTACAATTGGGTCTCTGACTTCAAAGCCCATTTCTGTTGTCTCATGCCAGGAATAACGGGATTTGAATATGAATAGTGGGTGTAGTTATGAGTGATTTTTCACCCTATCTTCAAAGCCTTTCAAAACATTGATATCTTGGAGTGCCAATATATAAAAGAAATAAATAGTATACTTCTTGGAGCAAAGTAAAGAGAGAAGCAACCATTACAAAGGAAAAAATAAATAAAGATCAAAGAATTTTCATTTGCAGAAATTTCAATTAACTAATTGTAGTTAGCAGGGGTTAAAAATCCCAGAAAGTCAGGAATTAATGAGATAAAAGCAAGGATTGAGCCCCAGTGGTGACAAGATAATGGGGGCTATTTTAGAAGCTGCTGCACTGAGAATGAATTCATGACAGCTGAAAACATAGCTTGCTGGGCAACAGTAGCAGCACTGAAGTATTCGGCTTTGAAAGGCAAGTCCCTTGTCTTGAGGAGAACAGGTGGTTTTTGAGGATAAAAGTGAACTGAGCATAACCTTAGCACTTGAAAAAGACAGAGATTTAGCTTTCAACTTGGAACACATGGTGATAAGGGCAGGGAGGACGCTGGGAGGGAAAAATCTAAGCACAAAATGTAGGAGATAGAATGCTCTCCCGTATGCTCGGCCTGCAGGACTTGGCAATCCTGAGTTATAATTTCTGGGCCAAAAGCTGGGGCCTAAAAAATCTTCTACAGAGAAAAATTGATGTAAGCAAAGAAAGGGAGTGTAGGTGAACACAACTCTGAGGCTACTTTTCAGTGAAGCTGGGTCTACTTTGATATTTTTAAAAGCCTCTCAAAAGCAATTCAACCTCTCGAAGTCTGTGGCCCCACTGAGCATTTCTGAGAGCACCCGGCCCATATAGCACTACTCAGGAAAACCAGTACCTTCCACCTTAGTGGATTGCTGCTTCAGCTTTAAGTTCTTTGCGTGGGTCTTCCCCAGGTAGTGTGACTGGGCCACGACAGGGGAAGAAAAGGTCATGTTACAGATGGGGCAGCACTGGTTCTTGTCTTTGCTTCTGCTGCTCTTCTGTGGTTGGGAGAGAGAACATAGGTCTGATCATGCCACTGCCCAGCCAGAAAATCTTCAATGGTTTCCCACTGCCCATAGGAGGTTGGCCATCCAAGGCCCCTTCACAAGCTGACCCCCACCTACCTTTCTTCAGCTACTTCATCCCAGGCTACTCACCGTTTCCCACTTTGTTCTCTGACACTACTTTGCTTTGCTTGGGCTGTTCCTGCTTCCTAGAACACTCTTCCTTCCTTGCCTGCCTGGCATATGCCTATTTAGCCTTCAAGGCCCGGTTTAAATATTTCTTCTAGGAGACCTTATTTCATGAAAATCATTCAGCAAACAAATTATCAAAAGCCCCTATGTGTAAGCACTCCAGCAAGAATTAATCTTGGCTCCTCCTCTATATCCCTAGAGTCCTTTAAATAGACCTCTAACATACCAATTATTACCCTAAACTGCCACTGTCATACATTAAGAGGCTCTTCTGTGAACTGAAGTGCAACATTTGGGCATGGACTGCTTGACTAGTCTATTTCCTAGTCCTAGCACTCTGCTTGAGCCTGGCACAAAGGAGATGCTCAGGGTTTGCTGAGCAAGCAGAATACTGGATTTTATTTGTTGATTATGATTAGACTAGAAAACAATGTATTTCAAGCCTATATTAAGGGCTTCCAAACTCTCTGAGAAAGTCTGATCTCTGAACAGCGTGTTCACTCCAAGACAGGGTTTCTCAACTTTGGCACCATTTACATTTTGAACTTGATAATTCTTTGTTATGGGTTGTCTTTTATATTATAAATATTGCAGGATATTTAGCAGCAACTCTGGCTCTATCCACTAGATGCCAGTAACACAACCTTAAGTTGTGACAACCAAAAACGTTTCTAGATGTTGCCAAATGTGCCCTGGGGGCAAAAATCACCAATTGAGAACTACTAGCTGTAAGATAATCATTTGCCTAGATCAGGAAAGAGGGTGAGGGCTTGATATTAACATCCCCTTATATACCTACAATTGTAATTTTCAAAATTCTTTCATATGTGTGGTCTCATTTGAATACTGTATCACTCGAAGAGTTGAAGGAACTGAGGCCCAGGGTGGCACTTGCCCAGGGTCACAGGGTAGATTACTGAGAGAATTGGGACTCTTTATCTCCCTGAATTCTAAATCATAAAAAGGGCCATCAGAGGATGATTCCAGGAAACCTGGAGAAGTCATGATGAAAGCCCTTCCAAATCTGTGGTCACTATAATAGAAGGCAACAGTTTGTAAAGTAAGCTCCTACTTGCTGACCATGTACTGGGAACTGGAAATTTACCTCACAATCCCCTTAAGAGGTAGTAGGGATTATCAGCTCCATTTTAGGAAGGTTACACAAAGTCACGCAACCAGTGGGTTGCAGAGCCCTAGTCTAGTGACTTCTCATCTCATGACCTTTGCATGGCTTCTCAAGGAATAAAAATAATTGTACTCCCTCAGGGGTGGGAAATCATTTCAACTTAGTTCTCACATTATTTCTGAGCCAAAAAACAAAGGTAATTACATCTCAATCAGAGCAGGCATTTAGAAAGGCATTCCTTACACTTGCTTATTTAAAACATTCGAGAGCAGAACTTGGCATTTTCCCTTGGATCTCAAGATTAAGCAAGCAGCCTGGCTCCATTTCATTTTCTCTCCTTGAGCAGAGAACGGGCAGCTTCTTATCTGGCTCAACAAACCACTGGGCTCCATTTACTGAGTCTCTAGTATGTGCCAGGCTCTGTGTTGGGGGCCTTTAATAAACCCTCCCTCATTTTAATTTGGAAAAATTATAAAAGGTGGTATCATCCTCATTTTCTAGAGGAAGAATCAAGGTCCAACTCACACAGCAGGGCCAGGATTTGAAGCCAAGTCGGTCTGACTCCAAAGCCCATGCTCTTTACACCACACCAACCTGCCTGCTGGCTTCACCAGGAAGTGAGAGGTCTCAACATGGCAGCTGTATTACCTGATCTGAGTCTAGCTTCTTCGTTTCCCCCTTTAATGTCTCCATTCCATGGATTGCTAGGTATCTCTTCACTTTGTTGGCATGTTTTTTGCTCTGCAAGAACCCAGGAAAAAGATCAAAGATATCCAAATGCCATTTCATAGCTAAGGCACTCAAAAACACTCACTAGATTTTCATCTGGTTCCTCCTCATGAAAACTTCTGAGGAGGAGCGGGTGGAGGAAGAAGCCCAGTTTATTGAGTTCCTACTCTGTGCAAGGCACTTTACATACTGTCCAATTTATTCTCCACAACAAATCTATGAGAAAATGATTACCATCTTTATCTTATAGATGAGGAAACTGAGGCTGAAGATGGTGAGGTTTCTTGCCCAAGATGAACAGCAGAGTTGTGATTCAAACTTAGGTCTATTTAAAGCCAAAGCTCATACACCCTACTATACCAAGATGCAAGGGAAGATCCAAGTATAGTGGTCCTGATTTAGATGGAAGAGATGAGACTCAGAGCAGTTAAGTCAACCTTCTAGTCACAAGCCAACATGCATGGAGGCAATGTCTGAGTGGATAAGAAGAAATTACACTTTCCTGTGCAAGCCAGGGAGAAGCTGGGGTCTGGAAAGTAAAGCAGTACTGGAGGTACAGAGGCATACCTGGTAATGTGCCAGCTTCTGGGACTCAGAAATGAGCAAGGCGCAGCAAACCTTACACTGCGTGCTGGTGAAGAGACACTGGTTCTTCTGGATCATGTGCTCCACTACAGAGGGGAAAATAAAAAAATCTTTGAGTTAATACACACTTCCTTTAACAGGATGGTCTTTGAACCCCTGCCATACAACTGCATCAGCAAACCTCAATTACCCAGCCACTACTGCTTTCAGGGCTCATGCTATTATAACTCTTATAAAACCAAACCAATTGCTGCAAAGTTGATTCTGACTTATGGCAATCCCATGTGTTTCAGAGTAGAACTGTGTTCCACAGGGCTTTCAGTGGCTGTGACCTTTTGGAAATACCGTATTTTTACATAAATAATGTGTACATTATATGTTTTTTGCAAACCATGCAACCCCCTCAGGTATTCCTATGTATACTGCATGTGGAAAAACATGGTAGAGCATTAGGCTTCTTTTTTTCTTAAGAGCCTCTGGGTCGATCTGAACCATCAACTTTTTGGTTAATAGGCAAGTGCTTAATTGTTTATATCACTAAGGGACTCCATACCATCTGTACTATTACTTATTTTATAATTTTATATAAGCCAACTTTCTCTACTTAATAAATTCTTTGAAAAAGGAATCTTTAGGTCATTACCTAAGTAGATATCAATAAAAATGAAATAATTCTAGCCAGGTATGGATGTCAGAGGCTTAGTGCTCTATTTAAAAGGAAGAATAGGAGAATAACTGTTACAGACATGGTAGCACTCAAGTGAGACTCCCCACTGATAGAATCAGGGCTAAGACTTGAAAAGGGAGTAATTTTTTCAATTCTTCATCTGACTTGAGTTCCATCATGGCACTGATAATCTGAGGCAGAGTCCCCTGGAAAGGGATCAGGATGCCATGGCAGAAGGTCTCATTGGCAAGGTCTCCACAGGATCTAAAGTTTACCTATGCCAGTCCTTTTGGGCAGAAGGGTTGATGTTTCAGGTAATATTTCTACCATTGAGGATTCTTATTTATTTCTCCACTTTTCTTCTATAGTGTTTATTACATTGTTGTGAAAGCCCTTGCCTACCTCAACTGTGCTCAGAAAAACCAAGGCAAGGGGACCTATGGGCATATTTGGGTCATCACCTTAAAAAAAAGGCAGGGGGTGTAAGAGAAGCTCCTCAGAACAAAAAGTCTCAATTAGGAAGATGATATAAAGGGAATCAGAGCCCAGCTATCCCTCCTCACCTAGACGGTTCTAGGTTTTGTTTTATTAAAGGAAATGGGGTTGCTTTTTAAGAATATTCAGAATTTGGCTCCCTACAAACTAAACAGGCAAGGATCATGTCCTTTATGACTCTGTATCCCCAATATCTAGTACAATACCTGACACACAGCAGGGGCTTGGTGAGCATCTGCTGAAGGAATGAACTACACTTAGTTGCTGGAGCCCAGTCTCAGGTCACAGTGTACACTCACACATTTCACATACCTGTACTCACAATGGGTCTTCTGTGTGCTGGCCTGGGGCCATATCAGAAATAGGATAGATGGTATGAAGTAAATAAATAAGCAAGATAGTGACAGAAAGTGAAAAATGCTATAAAGGAAAAAATAAAAACAATAGTAAGTGATGTAGAATGATGGGCGCAGGGTAGTCAGTGAAGACCACCCTAAGGAGGTATCAGCCGCAAGAAGGTCTGGGGAAACAGTGGTCAAACCTGAAACAGTGCCAAGGTTCTGAAGTAGGGATGAGTTTGGTATGTTCATGGCATGAACTAATAGATTTTATTCTTAATCTAGTAGGAAGCAATAAGACCTAGTTTGTATTTGGAAAAGATTACTCTGATCATTCAGTGAACAGGTTGTATGTGGACAGGAACGGAAGCAGTGAGGAGGAGGCTGTTGCAGTCTTTCAGGCAACAGATGACGGAAGCTTACACTAGAGAGGTAGGCATTGTAGATGGAGAAAAGTGGATATGGAATTATATTCTGGAAGTAGATCTGACATCCAGTCTTTCAGATTAGGTATGGGGTTGTAGGAAGAAGAATCAAGGATAATTCATAGGTTTTGAATCTGAGTAACTAGAACCTGAGAGTAAATGAGATGAGAGCTAGAGGCAGACAGTTTGGAAGAGAAACAAGCATTCACTTTGGCCACGCTAAATGTGAGTGGTCTATTAGACATAAAGGAAAAGACGTCATATAGTCAGCTGGAGATTCAAGTTGGAGCTCAAGGGAGAGGTCAGAGCTGGAGGTATAAACTTGGGAATTAGCAGTGTTTCTTTTGACTACATTTAAAGTTGTGGGACTGGTACACAAAGAAAATGTTCTATATTCTACTTTGGTGAGTAGCGACCAGGGTTTTAAAAGCTGTGAACAGCCAGCTAAGGTGCAACTGCTGGTCTCTCTCTATTCGGAGCAAATAACAGTGAAGAAGATCAAAGACTCATGGAAATAATCAGTCCAAAGGACAGCATGAACCTCAGCCTCCATGACTCTGAGACCAGAACTGGATGGTGCTTGGCTACCATGACCAACTGCTCTGAAAGAGATGATAATAAAAGGTCCAGGATAGAGCTGGAGAAAAATGTAGAACAAAACTCAAAATCATAAAAAAGACCAGGTTTACTGGTCAGATAGAGACTGGCAGAACCCCAAACTATGGCTCTTAGTCACCCTTCCAGCTTGGAACTGAAGTCATGCCCCTTGGCTCAACGATAAGCCAAACAATAGACAGGCCTATGAGGTGAACAGTAACACCAGGGAGGTATGCACTCTTTGGAACAACCAACCTTAAGAGATCAAAAGGGCAGCATCTGTCCAGAGGCAACGTTCAGAAGGTAGGAAGGTATAGGAGAGAAGGACCATGGAGGAAGGAAACATAGGGAGGAAGTGGGGTGAGTGATGTGGAGATTGCAATGTCAGAAACAAAATTGGTACTAATTGTTGAATGGAAAACTAAGTTGCTCTGTAAATGTTCACTCAAATCATAATAAAGTTAAAAATAAAAGTTGTGGGGCTGGAAGAGAACACCTAAAGGAGATGGAGAAAAGAGGGCCTGGGACCGAGTCTTACAAATGAAGTGAAGTTGAATATAAAACAGACTGAATATTAAGATTTAAGAATATTCAGAATTTGGCTCCCTACAAACTAAACAGGCAAGGATCATGTCCTTTATGACTTTGTAACCCCAACATCAAGTATAACAGCTGACCCACAGCAAGGGCTTGGTGAGTATCTGCTGAATGAATGAAGTGCACACTTCTTTGCTGGAGCCCAGTTTCATCCTCTCTTCTGGGCTGCTGTCTAGAGGCATTCAAAATAGTTCAGGGTCTGACCTTCTGCTGCAGGCTGTCCTACAACAGACACTAACAAAACTAGGCTGTTCTGTTGTTGTTGTTATGTGCCATCGAGTCGGACCCGACTCATAGTGACCCCTCCTTGGGTTTCTGAGGCGGTATCCCTATGGAAGTAGATTGCCCAACCTTCCTTCTGAGGAGTGGCTGGTGGGTTTGAACCACCAGCCTTCTGGTTAGCAGTCAAGTGCCTTAGGCACTACGTTACCAGAGCTCCCAGGCTGTTCTAAACCCTTGGTAATAGAATTGTTTACCTTTATAACAAGAAAGTTGGTAAAGCACCAAAATCTACATGCAGTGTGTGCCCAGGCTGACTTCAAGGGGTTTGGGCTATGAGACCTAAAGGCCTCATGAGGTTGTCCAAAAGAAAAATCCTGTCAGTAGGGCATGTGTTAGTTACCTATGTGCTCAATGTGTCTGCAACAGGATCAAGCATGCTTTCCTTACTGAGGAGCAAAATCGTTGTGAAAGTATTCAAGGCACAAGCAGAGTAAAAAAGTTAAGTAAATAAATAAATGGAGTTTTTCTGAATAATGATAATCAAATGGCAAAACAATAAAAAACCCCACAAGGTAAGTAGAAGAGTGGGAGTGAACTTCAGGTGAGAAAGATTTTTTTCCTGGGTCTGCCCCCATCACCTCTCATATCCAGTTGGGGTAAAGGTTCTGCCAGGATGGCACAGGCTATGAGAAGCAATAGTTTCCCAGTAGAAGGGAGACTCACTTGAAGAGGTGGGAAATGTCCACACCCAGCGACATTTGTTGGTGGAAGTGAAGATCTCAGAGGCAAGTGAGCAGGGAAAGTCAAGGCTCTATAAGCCTGAGGTTGCAGCTGTGGTTGTAGCAATCATTTCCTTGGCTAAGACTGTATGGCACTGAGACTTGAGAGGGCCTAAGTTGCCACACACTCCTGGCCAATCATGAGGTTGTACACAGGTGCATAAGTGATGCAAAAGGCCCCAGTGGAAAAAGAAGCCACGGCAGATTTTAACATGACCCAAACTGAGTATACTTCCCTCCTCATACACAGATCCAACTGAGAGGACAGAGGTCTTACTGGCTCCAGATATTTGAAAACAAACTCTGTCCAATCACTGGGTGACTGTTAATCAATGCAGACACCAAAACAAACAAATAACCCACCCCAAACCCCCTGCCATCTAGTCAATTTTGAGTCATAGCAACACTACAGGACAAAGTGGAACTGCCCCACAGGGTTTCCAAGGCTATAAATCTTCAAGGAAGCAGACTGCTACATCTTCCTCCTGCAGAACAGCTGGTAAGTTTCAAACTGCCAACCTTTTGGTTGGCAGCTGAGACTAAACCACTGAGTGACCGGGGCCCCTCATTGGGTTTCCAAGGCTGTAAATCTTTATGGAAGCAGATTGCCCCATCTTCCTTCCACAAAGCAGCTGGTGAGTTTGAACCTCTGACCTTCCGGTTAACAGTCAAGTAAGTGCCTTATCCACTATGCCACCAGAGCTCCTTTAATATACACAGAGAGATAGAAATTATAAAAAACAACCAACTGCTATTAAGGTCTTAGCTACCATATAAGCAGTTTGACTGCTCTGAAGCCACCAAACTGTGAGGAAGCCCAAACTATTCTATGCATGAAGACCATATGGAGAGGCCCTAAGACAACAAGAAGAGAGATGCTTGGCCAGCCCCTAGAAGCTCCATTCCCCTGCTGTTCCAGCTGTGGACACTTTCTGTTGTTGTTGTTGTTGGGTGCCATTCAATTGG